AGATTTTATAATTGCCTTCTACAGGACTTATTCTTTTTAAGAAATATGTAATAGGCCTAATAGTCTTATCTAGCTTAGTCTAGAAGAGAACTCCTGCTACTATGTAGTCTAAGGCATTAGCTTCTATAAGTATTAGTAGTTTAAAGTTAAAGTAGTAAAGTATTAAGGCTTTAGTAAAGGCTTTCTTTAGCTAGTTAAAGAACTATTAGTAATTTAAGTTAAAGTTAAATTAAATTTTTTTTTTAGTAAGTGTAATTATAAGGCTTACTTACTGCAAAAAGTTATTAATAAATTATTAGTAAAAGTTAGTAAATTTTATAAAAGCTTAAACATTTTTTACATTTTTTAGGTATTACTAATTAGGCATAGTCTAAACCTTAATAGAGTCTATTTAAATGCTATTTATAAAGATTACATATCCTAAATACATAACCTTTAATTAGTAGAACTTGCATTTGTCTATGTTAAGTTGTAAACCTACTTCTTCTATAGCTTTTAGCACTAGGCGTATATGCTATTTATGCTCTAAAAGGCTATTACTATAAATTAAAATGTTATTAATATACACAGTGCAGAACACATCTAGGTAGAGTTAAAGTAAGTTGTTTATAAAATGTTAAAAAGTACTAGGCGCGTTAGCTAAGCTAAAGGGCATTACTAAGTACTTAAATAGTCTATATTAGGTCTAAAACACTATTAGCTACTTATTACCTTTTGCTATCTTTAGCTTGTTAAAAGCAGTAATAATATCTAACTTTATAAAATACTTTGCTTTACTTAGTTAGCTTAGAGTTTTTTATAAAAAAGAAATTAAGTATTAGTTTTTAATAGTAATAGTGTTTAGTCCTTAGTAGTTAATATAGAATTAAAGCTTACCTCTAAGTTTCTTTATAAATAGTATAGGTAACACTACTAGTAAGAAGCTAGCTTAAATAAACTCTTTTTTTAAGTTCTTATTAAAGTATTTTTAGAGCACTTTTAATTTATTTAGTAATATTTTATATAGTAGCCTATAACTAAGTTGTTTACTAGGCTTAAAAGTTATCTAGTAATTATATAAATGTTATATTAAAAGCTTATTAAACTTGTCTTAAAAAAAGATATATAATAAGTTATAGTAGTCTTAAGAGACTATTATTTTTAAGTTAGTGCATTTTTAAGAAGCTAAAGCTTAGTCTATATTAGAAATTATAACTGCGTAAATTTTATAATCTAGTTATTAAGCTAGAGTTATAAATAAAGTAGGTCTTATATAGCAGATGTCTATCTACTGTTTAAGTCCTAGTTTATGTTTAAATTAAGTAAGTAAAGATTTTTTAAAAGCTTTTTTTTTTTTAAGTTTAAGCAGTTATTAAATTATTTTATATAGCTTATCTTAGTAAAAGGCCTAGCTTATTAGCCTTACTTAGGTAGTTCTTCTCTAGGTTATTAAAAAGTAGGTCTAGAAACCTTCTATACTAAGTGCTACTTAAGTGTTATTTAGGTGTAAGTGTAAGCATATATCTTAGTATTAAAAAGAGTTAAAGTTTAAAACTTACTTTTAGTAATTAAAGGCAACTTTATGCTAATATAGCTATAGTTGTTCTAGAATTAGGTTATAATATTTTATGTTTATTACATAAAGCTTAATCTGCTCCTTATAGTGTTAGTAGGTAATTATAATAGTTATAGTATAAAAGATAAAACTTTTTTTAAGTTATTTTTTATTAAATCTAGTTAGGTAAATTATTTAGGTAAGTAGTGTTAATTAAAGATTTAGTTTATGCGCTAGTTCTCTATTAATATAACTTATGCTATTTACTCTTAAGTTAATAAAAGCTTATATTAGAGCTAATATAGTTCTTTATTATAAATATATAGAAATATTAACTTAGTACTTTTAGTTATTAGTAAGAGACTTAGCCTATAAGTTAGTAAAAATCTAGTGTTAAATTAGTTCTAAGGGGCAACTTAGCCCTAGAACAAGCCTTTTTACAGGCTCCTACTGCTATAGCTGCAGCTATGTTAAAAGTAGTAAAAAGAATTAAGGCTTAAATATAAGTTAAAGCCTTTATAAAAATAAAATTAAAATAGTAAAAATCTTTAATAAGTGCTAGTAGTGCTACTTACGTAGACTTAAGAAAAAAAAATAAAGTAGTTTTAAAAAATATAACTATACTTACTATACTTAAAGCATTAACTTTTTTTCTTATAATTTTTACACTTTTTAGAACTAACTAGAGCATAATTTAAATTAATTTTTATTATATTAGAGTTCTTATTTACAACTACGCTAGTTTAGGGGCGTATTAGGGCTTGTACAGGGAGGAACCTTATGTTATTATTATAGGTAGCAATAAAGTTTATATATGTGTTAAGGTTGTTTAGAAGGGGTTTTTTTACTATAGTGTGTTATAGTTTAGTTAAGAGGGAGTTATATAAAGCTATAATTAGACTTATTTTATTTAGGCCTATATTAGATGCAAGTTAGTAAAACTTAGTAAAGTGTAAAGTAAAGCTTTTTTTTTTTTTTATAAAGTGTTTAGGTAACTTAGAGCTGTTAACTTTTTATTTAAGTTTTTATAAGTTACTTATAAAAACACTATAAATTAATCTAAGTTAATAATATCTTTATTTATTAGTAAGTTAATTAAGGCTGTTACATTATAGTTAAGTTAAAAGTAGGTGTATAGTAACTAGAAGTATTTAAAAAAGAATTAGTCTATGTTTTCTTTAAGTTTATATTAGAGCTTATGTAAAAAAGAAGGTAGGTCTTTCTATTTTTTATTAAACAGTAGGGGATTAGAAAGTTAGTTAGATTTTATTACTAAGTTAGAAAAGTTACAGGTTGTAAGTAGTGTTAGGCAGAAAAAAGTTAAGCTATCTCTAGACTTCTAAGTAAGCTTTAAAGCTAGTAAGTTCTTAGTTTCTACTACTATAATAAAAGTTAAAGTAAAAATAGACTGTTTAATAATATAAAGCTATTTTTTAAAGTTTTTTTAAAAAGTTTTAAAGCTTACAACATAGTAGCTTTTTTATAAAGTAAGCGCTTTTTAAAAAGCTTCTTAGCTTACTTTAATAGCTTAAAGTTATGTAAGTACTAAGCTTATTAAATTAAATTTAGAGGCTATTTTTAGCTAGAGTTTTAACATAACATAATATTATAATTATGCATAAGTAAGGTTATAGAGCTTTATAGAGGTCTAGTTTAATTACTATGTAAGGTATTATAGTAGGTATAAGATGTTATATAAGGAATAAAAAAGTTTAAAAAGAAATTAGTAATTAAATACTTAGCTTAGAAGTCTAAGCGCTTTAGGTATAAATTAAGCCTGTTCTAGGTTTAGTTAGTGTTAAGGTAGTTTATGCTTAAGTTTATGTCTATGTTGTGTTGTGTTTGTGTTAGACGTGCACTAATAATACTCTAGTACGCGTCTAATATAGTTATGTCTGGGATCTAGGGAGGATACCGTGACAGCTGCTTAGCTTCTACTTTAAGCTAAAAATTACTACTTATCTACTTATTATTGTAACGGCGCAGGCAAGACAATGGGTCCGAATGCGGTGGGAATCCACTTAGAGGCATATGGGAGTGCGTGGGGACTCTGAACCTGGGAATGCCATTGACACCTATAGGCCTAGTACGAAAGGATATCAGAAACCTACCGAGCTAGCTACGGGGGCAAGGTGCGACTAAATACATGAGGGAATAGGGGTAACAGCAGGGGTCGGGGCCAGGTCGAGGTCGGGGCCGATACGGGGGTCTTCCGGGCCATCCGAGATGGAACGATTCATGAGGATCGTTACAATTATATTCCTACTAAAGGAAGGTAAAGATCTAGAACTTTTTAGGTCTTAGTTAAGAATTATTAATCTTACAGTTTTTAGATTTATAGCAACCTCTACAGAAGTTGCATATAAACTGTTGTTGTTCTAGTGTAGACAAGCGTCCTTAGTATGTAGCAAAACTACTGTAGGTGACACTAGGTTGCTAAGCTAGCTATAATTGTTGCTAATTTTTAAAAAACTCTAGACAGCTAGTAAGGAAATTAGGTAGATCCTTATTAGTCTGTTTATGCTAGACTAGGATTAATTAGATAGCTGCTACGCATCTAAGGTTTATGTCTAAAATTGCTAACACAAAGTTATAGTGTAGTTAATATTCTGTTACATTTAGCAGGTAGACTAATTTAGCATTAATATATGCGTTCCTATACATGGTGATTTATTAGTTCTGTTTTATTTTTAATAACTACTTCCTTGCGCAGTTATATGCTGTTTATGCGCTCTACTTAAGCTGCTTATTAAAGGGCTCTAGAATTGCCCTTAAGGCCTTTAGCCTTTTATAGATTGTTTCTTTATCCCTAATAATAAAGTAGTTTAATGCGTTAATAGTGCTTTTAATAAGCACATAGATGTCTAATAAGGCTTTATGTTAAGTTTAGAATAACTTTAGATTATTACAGTAGTCTTTACAGGCTATTATGTAGCATTGTTAATTATTAAGGTTTAGGTTAGAGACTATAGGATTTAGACTAAGCTAGGTGCTGCCTGTATAAAACTTCGCGACCTTAGGCCTCTGTAGCATAGTGTTAACTAAGAGATTTTCTAGTAAGAGGTCTAGATTAATATACTCCTAGACATATTCTCTAGTTACTTGTGTCTTAATGCAACTAAACTAGGGCTTCTAGTCGCTCTTTTTAGTAAGCTGTACAGAGGCATTAATAGTTAGAGTTATCTTTAGTAGACAAAAAGGTTGTTGTTTAGTTAATTAGGCTTAGCTAGTAAGCAATCTGTGATTAATGTTTTAGAATAGACAGAAGGTTATTGTCCTGTTAATTAGGCTTAGGTGGGGAGCAATCTGTAATTAATATGTGTAGAATAGACAGAAGGTTATTGTCTAGTTAATTAGGCTTAGCTAGTAAGCAATCTGTGATTAGTATGTTTTGGAATAGACAGAAGGTTATCGTCTAGTTAATTAGGCTTAGTTGGTGAGCAATCTGTGATCAATATGTTTTAGAATGGACGGAAGGTTATCGTCCAGTCAATCAGGCTCTAGTGGTGAGCAATCTGTGATCGATATGTTTTTGAATGGACGGAGGTTATCGTCCGTTCAATCGGGCTCAGCTGGTGAGCAATCTGTGATCGATATGTGTAGAATGGACGGAAGGTTATTGTCCAGTCGATCGGGCTCAGCTGGTGAGCAATCTGTGATCGATTTGTTTTAGAATAGACGGAAGGTTATCGTCCGGTCAATCGGGCTCAAGTGGTGAGCAATCTGTGATCGATATGTGTTGAGGTTCGCGGGGCCCTGAAGCTAGATGCAAAAGCTAACTGTGCAGTGGTGACTAGAGGACTAGTCAGGAGCGCGACTCCGGGCTCATAACTCTTGCATGAGCTGAGGAGGGGACATATGGCAAACGACTCGACAAGGGAGCGAGATCCAAACAAGGTGGAATGAGTGTATTGTAAGGTCTGAGGAGCTCGATAGAGCTCTGAGCTGACTATATACTGTACGAGATAGGAGCTATGCCTAATGAGTGAATAGTGCAGTACATGGGTATGATATCGCGTGAGACACGTGCGACAGCAAGCGATGCGTTATTTGCAGACAATACACTAAATAGAAAAAGCTTTTAGGGCTATGTTATTTAACTATTTAGCAGATAGATTGCATAGTAAGTAAAGAAACAAGATATAGTCACAACATTAACAACAAAAGCAGAATTACTTGCACTGTCCTCAGTTACTAAGGAAGCTATGTTTATAAGAATGCTCCTTAACAAACTGCAGGTTAAGCTGCCTAATTTAACTATTATAATCTAGTGCAACAACAAGCAGACAATCTAACTAGTAAACAAAGAGATATCTTAACTTTAAACTAAGCTCTAACATGTTAACATCTATAACCACTAGCTCTAACAGGAAGTCTCTTAACAAACAATTAAGGTTGTCTATGTCCCCTCTAGCGAGATGCTTGCAGACAGACTTACTAAAGCGCTTCTAGCTAGCAAATAGCCAAGCTTTCTTTAGCAAATTTGGCTAGTTAACGTCAGGGAGAGGATAGTCAGTTAGGAAGCGGATATAGAAGAGATTAAAGCAAGAATGGAAGCCCTAGAAGCATACTAAGGTTGCGCAATTAGGAACCAGCTTAAAGCATGTCCAAGCTGAGGGGGTGTGTCAGATATGCGCACCTACTGTCAAGACAGGAGGAACGTTTGACGAAAGCTGCTACATAGTACGAGCAATAAGCTTGAACAGTATGTTGCTGCAAATTGCTGCATGTTGCAGCATTTTGCAGCATTTTGCAGCATGTTGCAAGCTGGTCGCGCATAGGGCTAGTGCGCGAGGGACTCGGATCGGAAAAACAAAAGCCGAGCAACACAAGTAGAGCAGAAAAAGGATCGATAAATCAATACAATCAATCAATCATCCCATACATCATATCCAAACCCATCATTCATCTCAGGAAGCCCAGAAACAGTGCTTCAATCTGACAACAACTTATATTAAGAGGCTATAAAAAGTGTAATAAGTATAAAAGTATATAAATAGTAATAATTTTATTTTTTTTATAGTACTACTAGAAATTAAGTAAGTTATAGCTTTTATAGCTGTTAATAATAAAAAGCTAATAACGTACTTCATAGGCGAGTTGCTTACACACCTGAGTCGCTTACTTTTGCTAAGACCCCACCCTAACAAACTCTATTATAGCCTATAACAACCTGCTCTAGCACTATATAGTACAGTACAGCCTAGAATATTATTTAGATACTACTTCTGCTTCTTGCTTACACATTTGCGTGTTATGCCTAGTCTAATTGCACTATCTGCAGCGCCTTTAGAATAGCTTACCTACTTTAGCTTACACCTACTTCTTTACTTTCTTTCTATTACTGCGCGCTTTAAACTCCTTTAGAGCTGTTAAGTATAAGCTTTTTTAAATTATTAAAGTCTTTTTTACTTTAATTTACTTTCTTTTATATAATTTATATTACATAGCAGCCTTATTAGCTACTTAAAGCTTAGTAATTTCCTATTACACTAACACTAGCTTATACATAATTATTACTACTCTTTTTAAAACTTTTGTCGCGTATACTAAGAGCCTTGGCTGGGGCTTAGAGCCTGGGACTGGGGCTCGGAGCCTGGGACTGGGGGCTTAGAGCCTGGGACGCAGCTTAGGATCTAGAGATATTATGTTCTAAAGCTTAGTGTATATAAGGAGAGCCTTTAGCTCTCTTAGATAGCAGAGTTACTTTATCTAATCTTCTAAACAGCTACTGCTAGGCTATTTTATCCTCTATAGTTATAGGCCTAGCGCTTTAAGAACCTAGGACAATTCTCCCTATGTAACTATAGCGCTAGCAAAAGCTGTTTAGAAGCTTTTTTTATTAATCTTTATTACCTTTAAAGCCTATGTTATAGCTAATTAAGATGCTCCTCTCCTAACAGGAGTATACTAGCTTAAGGACTACGTAAGCTAGCCTCTCTAGTTTATCTAGCTCTAGTTCTATGCTCTTAGCAAAAACCTATAGAACATAATTAATCTAGATAGACTAGACGCTCTAAATCCTATAGACAGCGCTCTAGAGATGCCTACACTTAGAGTAATTACTGCTAAGAACCTCCTAAAAAAGGCTAATATATAGTACTAGACTAATATTACTAAGTACTAAGCTTAATTAAGCAACTAGGCTTTCTGTGTAACACATCTTTAGATAATCTAGAACTAGGTTAATGCAACTGTTGCACTAGAGCTTCTAGAACCTATAATAATACAGCTTATATTAAAGAACTAATCTACTCTATAAGCACTTATATAAGCCTTAAAATAAGAGCTAGCACTAATAAATGTAAGCATAAAATTTTTTATATAAGTAGAGTATAAAGCTTACTTTACTAAGGTAAAGCATAGCACTATAACTTTAGAAGCTTAGTACTAGCAGTAGCACTTTTTATACACTAAGGTAAGAACCTATAAGATTCTTAATGTAGAAGGCTAGCTTACTGCACAAGACTTCTTAGACGCCCTAGCTCTAAAGCTTACACTAGACTAGGCGCGCTCTATACACTAGAGGGTTATAGAGGCTAGCGCACTTAGTAAAAAACCTCTAATAATTTAAAAAATTAGTAAAATCTTTTTAATAATGCTTTAAAAGCACTTCTTATGTATAAGTAACTAAGGCATAGGTATATTTATAACACTTAGTAGATAATTAAATAATAATTTAGCCTAATTTATTTTAGCCTAATTAGGCTACTTGTGCCTATGTAAAGCTCTAAGGCAATCCTTTTATTTATAGAAAGTAGTAGACTGCAGAGACCTTATATTAGTAGTTACTAAAAAGCTAAAGAAGCTTAGTAAAACTGCATATTAGAAGATTTTTAAGAGGATTAAGTAAGTGTAGCATAAAAAAGTAAAAGCTATACTGCTTAAAAAAGGCTATGTAATTCTAAATAAAGCCTCCTCTACTTTAAAAGCTATTAAAAGATTAGATAAGCTAGCATTTCTAAAAAGCATTATTACTGCATGTAAGGCCGGGATGGCGCTTACGTGTAAGGCCGAGATGGTGCTTACGTGCAACGGGTATATATACTATTCTGTACGCAATAATTAACGTTAGTTAATTATTTGCACCTTTTTAGTTGTATTAGCGTAGTAGTACAGAGCTCTGTCCTTACATAATAATTAACTAACAACAAGGACAGTTACGCGTTTAACCTACACCTTAGACAGCTTAGCTAGTTTTTAGACTAAAACGTAAGGCAGCCTCTTTTAGCGCCATGTTGTTGCTGCTGGGAGGTCTAGTGTATATGGCTTAGCTGGCGTAGGCTACTAAGCGTTGCGTTGTGTTTATCCCGCGCCTCTGGGCCGCAGGTGGTCAGCCTCTGGCCGGTAACCGAGACATGCGCATAGGCGCCTCTGAGCTGCGGGTAGGTCATGTGACGCCTGGGACATGCGTCTGCTAAGAAGGGGGATAATGTAAGGCCAGAATAGCGCTTACGTGTAAGGCCAAGATAGTGCTTACGTGCGACAGGTATATATACTATTCTGTACGCAATAATTAACGTTAGTTAATTATTCGCACCTTTTTAGTTGTATTAGCGTAGTGGTACAGAGCTCCGTCCTTACACTGCACTTATTAACCTGGTGCTTTTAGTAAAACTAAAAATGCATATAACTATAAATTTTAACATTTACTTACTCTCTATAAGTATAATTCTAGATAATAAGAGTGTTATGCACTTAGTAAATAGTATAAAGCTGCTTATACTTAAGTTATTTAAAAAAGCTTAAAGTTTATATATAGTAAAAGCTAGCACTTAGTTATTTCTAATCTAGAGAATAGAAACTAGAAAGCTTAAAAAAGTGTTAAATAAAGCATAAGAAAAGCGCACAGAAGATCTTATACTATAAAAGGTAGTTATAGTAGAAGGATTTTATGTTAATATTATCTTAAAAGCTTATTTAAGAGAAAAAGGACTATAGTATTTAAAACTTAACTATACACTACACATAAGCACACTAAAAAAGAATAAAGTACTTATAACACTTTACTAAAAACATAACTTTACATTTATTAAATATAAAGCTATTTCTTTTTACCTACTAGTGTAAAGTGTGCTTTTAAATTGCTAATGCTTATAAACTACATTTTTATACTTAGACTTAGAAAAGCTTTAGCATGCGCGCGTAGGACACCTAGGCTCTAAAGCTTTATAGGCTCTAGTTAAAAGCATAAGAAACATATAAATAATAAGTATAAAGTAAGTACACTATAAGCACTGCGCGAGAACACACGCTAAGTAGGTTATATTAAGAAGACTAAAAAAGTAAGCTTTTTACTTATTTTAGAGAATTGCATAAGACATGTTTAATATGCTATTAGGGCGCAGCAAAGCTCTATAGATAATAATTATTAAGAATAAATATAGTAGTAAAATCTTTTTATACTCTTTTTAAGCAAAAACGCTCTTAGAAATTTAAAAAGTAATAAAGAACTTTAAAAGCATAGTGTCTAATTAATATAAGCTTTAGATTAGTAAAATATAGTAAAATAACAACACTACTACACTCTCTTAATATAAGAAGTTAAGGTATAAGCTTTAGGCAGAGGAATTTAGCATTAATATTAAAAGCTTTTTACTATACACTTATAAGCTAAATAGAGCTGCAGAAAGAGCTAAATAAAAAATAATTATAAAGTTTATTAAAATAAGAAGCAGCGTAGGACTCCTTAAGAAGCTCTAGCTAGAAGTAGTAGACGCAGTAACATAGCTGTACAATATAAGCCTGTTGCACATATACAACTTACACTTACTAAATAAAGTCTTAGACATGTAGTTTACTAACTACTTTAGATACTATAAGCTAGAGTAGGTAAAAAGTGCTATAGCTAATTTAAGGCCTAATTAGAGCAAGACCTACATATATAGCTATTATACTTACCTACTTAATAGAAAACAAGCAGCTAGGCATTAAAGCAAAGCTTTAAAGTAACTCTACAGGACTACATAGAATATCTTATAGGCTACAAAGCTTTAAATATCTATAAAATATAAGTCTTAT